TTGGATAGCAGCCTTCAGCCTGCATGCAGGAGCAATTGTCAAGTGTAATTTTCAGCTGTTAGAGTAATTAACATCCTGATTTTTTAGGAAGTTCTTCTGAAGGCAATTATGGTCTTCAGATGCCTGCTAGTACAGTACTCTCTCTATAACTCACACTCCCACACAGATGTCAGATGGATCAGAATTTCATTGTATGCACAAACCCTGGAAACACCTTCATCAGAAAGCTACTATCCTAACTTCTATGGTAGTACACATATGTAATAGAATATCTGAAGCTTTACTAAATAAGTATTTCACATTAAAATATTTCACTAAAAATACCATTAATATTCTTACAAGGGAAGAATCTTTATACATATTGAGAGTATTTCTTTGAGTGTATTTGGTATTAAGAAGGATATTGGACAAGGAGGCAAGGCAAGAAGGAATATACATATGATGCAATAAATAAAGGAGTTTTGGTAACATTTCATTTGAAGGGGCACAAGTAATGTAAAGTACACTCATTTTTAATTAACTCATGTTTTAATTAACAGGAAACTGTTAGTTACATGCTGATCTCAAGTTCATTCATCAGTAATCTATCATGGTGATCCATGTATTTCATGCAGTTACTATATTTGTCCATGATTTTAATCGATTAGAATACTTGTATTTGTAGTTGAGTTTCTAAGTTATCTGTGCCCCCTTAAGCAAAGTGCTCAAGGTTGCTACAGTAGAGGTTAATCCATCTCAGAGTAACTTAAGAGATGAATGACAGGGATAAAATCAACTTATAAGGAATACACACAGCAGATGTGGGATCTGAGACCCCAATGCACAAAATGTCAGGCAACAGTGCAACTCACTGATGTGAATGCCACCCCCTTTTCTTTCATATTTAGTCACATAAAAATCTTCATTTTGAATGTATATCCACTTGCTAATATATTTTTCTGTTCCCCTTTAATGATTGTAGTTTTTCTATTTATGTTTTATGTCTCGGACAATGAGTTCCATTCTTCTTTTATTGTTTCAGAAAATAGTTTTTTAGGGCACAGATATTTTCTAGTTGACTTTAATAGCATTGCTTATATGAGGACTAGAGTGATAATCATTGTATTCCCCATGCAGGTAAATACATACCAGTCCCCTGCCATTGCCACTTATACTTTTTCATTAACACGATAACTCAAAGAGTATTTGATGGATCTTTTTTGCAGACTTGGCAAATTTTATCAGTAGCATAGTTGATCGGTGAAATTTATCTTTGGGAAAATGTCAAAATTTATCATAGGAGGATTTCAATTAAAGTTCGATTTTTAATCATTTTTGGGTATGTGGGTAGATTGTGAAGTTTAGGCTTGGGCAGTATTTTCGAAATATCTTTGTTACTGAGTGGTATTTTCGTTCGGCAAAATTTATTGTTCATGAATCCCCGACTTGCTGAAATTTATTGTGGGGGGAATTAAATTATGTTACTTAGCCCTAGTCCTAGTCAGAAAGAACAGGTGCAGATATTAAGAAAAGTCACAAAAAGTTGGGGTTTTAATAAAAATTGATGGAGAGGCGGGGAGATTGTGTAGCATGGGCTTGGGCAAAATTATGGTAATATTTTCAGTTGGGTGGTATAGGAGGAAAAATGATTAGGTGGGGGAGAAGATGTGACAGGGCCATCCAAATAAAACATTGTTGTCATTTTTTTTTCAGCTTCTTTGCTATTTCAATGCATGCTCATTTTAAATATTCTGGTGTCATAATAAATATGTTTATTTCCAAAGTTAAAATGCTAACATAACTTTTTGGTTGTTTCCTACTGTATCGTTTCGTTTCTACAAGTTTGGGATCTGGTACATTATACAGATGTTTCAAAATTCTATTCAGATGAATGTTATCACATTTCATTAATTCATAGAGATTCTCAGTAATCCAGTGGTAACTGCAGGCCTAGGTATTCCACCAACATGCTTTAAAACACGTTAATTTTAAACTGATGTGCTGAAAATATATAATCTGATATTTTAAACATCATGCCCTTTAAAGGTGCATCACAAATACCTATTCTGCTGCAGCTGCACTGCTAGTATTTGCTACTAACCTCCAGGAACTTTTGATCTACCATTGTTGTAAAAAAAATGGTTCATTGGGGTGAACAGAACTGATGTGGCTCTCTTGCTACATGGCTCCGTTCACAGCTAAAGTCAGGCATTCAGTTAGCATCTAAAGGGGAATTTGATAGAGGGAAAGATGAAAAATCATTGTAACTGAAGTGGGGCTTTATTGTGAAATGCGAAATAACGTTCTTTGGATCGAGGTGCTACATATATACATGAAGTTCATGGATAGACAGGCTGGGGGGGGGTGGGGGGTTAGGCTAACAACATTAGCACACAATATAAAGTAAATATTGAGGAAATGTTTCAAATGGGCAATGATGGAGCAGCAAAGTGGTATTTAGGAGTAAAAAAATTAAAAATGACAAATAAATACAGAATGAAATAACGTGAGAAAGTGCTGATGGTCATTGCAGTTAGTGAATTTACATGAATTATGGAATTAAAATGCAAGTAAACACCTTGATCAGGTTGTTCATTGTAAATGTAGCCATAGACATCTTATTTCACTGCACTGTGCACACCAAAAACGTTTCTGTTTATGACACTGTTCTCAAAACACAAAATGAGATGTTTTTATTATTATTATTATTCATAATCTATTTGGCAAATGGCTCTACAAACAGAAGCTGGAAAACCTTGAAAAGTGCACTTAATACCTGAAAAGATGTTTTTAAGGTATTAGCCTTCAGCAAACAACAAAATGTTGCAAAAGAAAAATATATTTTTAACATGAGAACCCTTTGGCAAAGTTTTAAAACAAAATAAACCAAGTAACAATGATTACTTACCTTTTCCTTCTATCAAATTCCCCATGAGACATTAATTGAATGGTTGGACTTTAGCTGTGAATACTACCATTCTGTGTAATGTTGCTCACATTACTTACAAGGAAGGAATGTTGGTCTCTATGCAAAATCTTTAATACAACCCTAATTTTAACACATGATAAAAGTAGGCCTCTATTGATAGAAATAGTATTGTGTCATCCTACATCTCTTCTTGTATTAGTTTATACATTCTGAAGAAAATAACTCCTTTGTTGTTAATATTTTGTTCATATTTGAAGAATGAGCAGCATAATGTCAAGGTTACAGTCTTCAGTCGTAATGTGTTTTAAATATCTGTTGATTTTTCCTGCACTTAGTCTTTATGACTTTCAATCTACAAGGTAGATTTTCAAGGGGTGGAAAATGTCATTTTTATGCAAAATTAGTGAAGCTGATGCCTCACCATAACTGAATGTCCTGTTCAAGTTGCATGCTTTACTGCATTATTGAGTTAAAAAATTATTATTTAAAAAATCTGTGTTAGTGAATAGAAATAATTACTCCTTTATTTAATCAAAGTTCATAAGGCATTCCAGGGCAACACTGTGCATCCCAAGCATCCCAAGCAACAATCCCATTTGTCAGAAAAATATGGAAACTTTACCCTGTACAGGAGCATCTCTACATTTCTGGTGCTTGGAAAAATAAAGCAAACTTAAAATATGTTAAAATATGTTAATCTTAAAAACAGCTCTTCTATAAGCCTCTGTTACATGAATCCTTTCTGATCTACATTTTGTGCTATTAATACAACAGGCATAATGATGTTAATTACTGCTATTACTATCACACAGTATATACTGTAGGGTTTGCAAAGTATCCCAATGCTTTTGATATAGCTAATTTTAGGCTTACAATGGAATAATATAGATTTACCGTCAGATTTTTTGCGTAAGTACGAGTCAGAAAGCATGTGTATGTGTGTGTATATACTAAAGCAAAAGCAGATGCTACAAATATCTTCCCTTCACAGTACGTAGGTGTGTTACAGTAAATTTGGCGAAAATAATTTTGTTAATATTATGAAATCAATAAAACAATTGAGATAAGCGCCAAAATCTAATTTAGCATTTATTTGAAAAAAGTTAAGTGCTAATGCATTAAATCAGAAATTATGGCTCTGTCACAAATTATGATAAATGCAGCTCCTGGTGTCATTTTTGTAAGTCACTGGGAAACAGCATTACAGCTAAATGTGTCTCTGCAGTTTCACACAAATCAAAATTTCATACATTAAGATAAATTATTATAGTCATTAAAAGTGGTGAAGAGAAGGCATTAGACCATTGTGCTTGGGAATGCTGCAGTATGTCTATACTCTTGCTCATGAATCAAATTTCACTGATTCAAACACTTTTAATAGTACGAGCAATTACTGAATGAAAGAGAGGTAAGACTTCATTTTTTTTCACCCTATTATAGCCTTTCCTGTAAATATTCAGTGGGTTACCTATGCAGACTGTCTTCACTAATATAGAATCAAATAAACACTTTCGCTTCTAACCGAAGGGATTGTTCGTTACTTTTTCTTCACCCTATTATAGCCTTTCCTGTAAATATTCAGTGGGTTACCTATGCAGACTGTCTTCACTAATATAGAATCAAATAAACACTTTTGCTTCTAACCGAAGGGATTGTCCATTATTACAATTAGAACATGTGGCAGTCTATCCAGCTACATTAGAAAGAAGATATGCAATATTTTACCCTGGTAGAAGGATGTGTGATGTAAACCATTTCAAAGTATCTTTATTGTTGCATTTTTTCTTAAAAGTTTTACCAGACTGTTATATCAATATAATCTTCATTTAATGCAGAAATAAAGAACTATATTGGGTTCACAAACTTCTCCAGCTACTATATATAGCATATTTGTATTAGTTAAACTTTTTAAAATTATCACAGAAAACATGATTATACTAATCGTGTTGCTCCACATCATTTTATTTTAATTTTTTATTTAACCTTTATTTAATCAGGTTAATCCCTGGTTTTGGTTGGTCAGATTCCAAAATATGGCTACAGTACATGACTGTTATTCGTTTGACACACCCATATATCTTACTTCCAATAGGTCTCCAGGTAATTTTCCCTGAATATCTCCAAGAGAAGTTTGTGCAATCTGCACTCAGCTACATCATGTGCAACGGAGAAGGCAAGTATGTGTGCCGTGACAGCCAGTGCATCTGCCAGTGTGATGAAGAGTTCCCACAATGCAACTGCCCAGTCACCGATATCCAGATCATGGAAAATTCCCTGCATGGAATGATGGATACATGGGCTAACACATATAAGGACTTTGAGAATTCAGGTAAGATTTTGGCCCAGACTTCCTAGAGTAAATGAAAGGAATTCTTTTTCAGAAATATCACTTTACTATGTATCTGTCCAATTATTATTAGGTGCTGCGAAATTGATGTTGACTCCTGGCCAGTGTTTCCCCAGCATGTCTTTTGTCTCACTATGTGTTCAAGTTTCCCAATGACATGTTTACATAGAATAATATAGGAGGCTGCACAGAGCTTTTAAAATGAGGGTCATGTATGTGGATTTCTGTGAAAAACAGATGAGTAGAAATGCAACTGGACTTTTTCCTCATAATATGATTGGTTTTTTGATGACTCCATTATTCCACTGTATCTATATCTATCCTATATCTATATTGTACATACAAAGCATTGGGGAAGCAGTGACACATTCTGATTATTTCAAGAGAAAACATCATTTTGTTTAAGACTTGCAAGCAATAATAATAATAATAATAATAATTATTATTATTATTATTATTTATTTTATTATTATATTACTAGTATTAGTAGTAGTAGTAGCATTAATAAAAATTACAATTTTATCAAGAAAAGGAGGAAAATGTTTGTGGCAATGTTAAAATGATGTGTTAAACTGAAAAATTACTTTACACTTCATTATTATTCTCTGAAGGTATACTGCTTTCATGTGGTAAACTGAGGCAAACTCAGGAAAGTCAGTGAAACTGCAATGTAGGTACAAAATGAAGGGGGAAAAAGTAAAAATTACAAAAAAATTACATTCCGTATATACAGTATTCATGTTAGACTTGTTTTGTCAGAACAATTAGAATTGTAAAAATACAAACAAAACAAACTGTTTCATTTCCTTCTCCGTTTAAATTTATTTTATTACATGGCAAGAATTAAAGATAAAGTGTAAATATAAAATAACTTTAAAGGAATCATTTTTGACTTGATATCATATTGCATTGAAAAAAATGTAGTATTTCATACATATAAACACATAAACCATACAAACCAAAAATAGCTGATGGGTCAGTGCATTGTAATTCAGTGAACGCCGTGTGCTTTATATGATTCTGCATATAGAGTCTGCGTATGAATTTGTTTCAGGCCAATAAGTGATACAGCTTAGTTAAAGTCACAGCACTTCTGTTTTATAGGAAGGCTCTTGCAGTTATTCATAAACTCACAGCAGCCAGCTGTATCATGAAGCATGCGAGGCAGACCTCAGGCGAGAAATGGGAATTTCTGTTTCTTACACTGAACCAGCATACTGGGAATATAACATTTTTTTTCTATTATTGTCACTGTATATAGAGCAGTGAAATGTCATTTAGAAGGTGCATACTAAACTAAACTAAACCCAGAACTTGATGGATAAGAATTTTTTATGGGTTATATCTGGATATATAGAAGTGTAGCAAACAAAGTGGCACCCCCTCATGTTTAATGTAAATAATTCCCCCCCCCCCCCCCCCCCCCCCCACCACCAAATATATAAAGCGAAAGCATTTGATTTCAGTGGAGTAAAAGCAAAACATTTCTTATTGCAAGTAGCAAATGTATTTCTGTTGCGTTAACGATGTAACGTTTGCTTTCTTTTGTGGTTTGTAACAAAAAAAACTCACTATAACCCAAATGCTACTTTACTATCCAATATCAATGCCCTGCCAGACTGTGCTATAGAGAGAGTGAACTTCCCACTACAGCACAACATACACATACCTTCACCATTAAAAAATACCCTCGGTATTTTATACTTTTGAAAGAGATGCTTGCTTTACAATTGGATCACAAATTATATAGATCCTTTGTAGTGTCTGCTCAGCTGACTCGCTCTGTTCCTCTCTCCCCTGCTTTCCCAGATGAATTCAAGTCATTCCTGAAGAGGCTGCCTTCAGCTCACTTCCTTTCTGTGAACAGTGTGCACCTGCTGTGGGGGAATGATTGGGACCTGCAGGCTCGCTATCGACAACTGCAGAGCTCACTGGAGGTGCAGCGTTTGAAGATCCAGCGTGCTGCGCGCAAGCTCTATGGCCTTAGCATCCGCTGTTACCATAACCCTAACCACCAGATGCCTCGAGAAAGGTGAGCTTCGAACAAGAGATACTGTATAGACACAAAGCACATGTAAGACACAATAACAGGATTGAATAACAGATATTTGCTATAATGGTTCGAATAAAACCCTTGAACTTACTAAATAGCCACTGCACCCCAAATCCCTGTAAGGTTGTCCATGTCAAAAATGCCAATATTTTTATCCAGACATTGTTTATATATACAAGGTTCTCACCAGGGGCGTACCTAGAACCAGACTGCTGCACTAAAGCCCTGGATATTTTTCTGTTCCGAATGGTGGGACCCTGGCTTAACTTAACATTACTATGACATACTTTCCATGAGTCTGATCATTTGGATGTTTGAATCTGATCCTTGGCTATCCCATGGCCGCTCCCACCACTATTCTCTGTACCTCTGCAGGGCTACCGCTCAGGGCTGCATTTTTAAAACACTGTGGTCAAAAGCATGAGCCCCATAATGGATCATGGTTATTGGAGTTGACCTACAGTAGGTGTCCTCAGTGGTAGATACAGGCATGCTACCATTCAGCTGTCACATTTTGATTCTCAGCAAATGCACATACACACTCGCCCCGACTACGTTCCCTGATATTTTCAGGTTTTTCAAATACTTAGTAGGAGATGAGAGGCAAAACTTCTGTTGACATTGTAATTAACTCCATTAACCTAAGTGCACAGTTATTTAACTGTGTTGTAATCTGTACAAAGTGCGAGATCACCACCATTTGCAATCAGGCAGATCAGCCTACTAACAGATAGTTAACTATGTAAGCTGGCTGATGTTAATAGGTAAGAATAATAATTTTAGAGTCAACTTTTCCACAAAATCAGAACCACGATAAGCTTAGAACTGATGTATTTTAAACTAAACAGATGGACAAAATTTTATAATTTTAAATCTTGACTCATCAACATGGTTCTCTCCTTATACTACAACCACCCCTGGTCCTTGGTGAAATGTGATGGCTGAAGTGTACTGCACAAATGCAGTGACCCTGGGCCCGTTAATCCTATAGATGACATAGGCGACACAGGCTGCCAACTTCTGAGAGGGCACCAATTTGACCGGCAAAGCCTCAGACCGCTAGGGGGAGCTGCTGATGCTTGCCTTGGGCACCGCGTTGGCTAGGACCGGTCCAGAATGTATCAGTTTGCTTTCCGGGCATATTTATTCAGAACAGTTTGTATTTAGTAATGTATAACTGGAATGTAGATGTGGGAATTTAGATTAAATAAAAATGCAAAGTTGGTCAGGCTTCTAAAATCTATATAGCCATTTCAAATTGTGTAGTCATTATCCAAACTACTGGTATGATGTTGTGGTTCTCATATAAATTCTAAGAGTTCTAAATAAGTCTCATTCTATACATTTCTTATAGTTTCCTCTGGTGACTTACAGGACTACAATGAAATAAGGCCAGTGTTTATGTTGTAATTATAGTTTTTGATAATGACCAGAACAAAAATTTGAAGGCTGCAGAAAGTTGTATAACACTGCTTTAGGAGGATGTTGCACTGTAAAGGGAAAGTAACACCAGCCATTCTGGGAATAGGATTTGTTGTTACCTTGCATTGCAGGAGCAGCGCAATGACGCAATGTGAGAAGGGAAAAAAAACGAACAGATTTGTTTACAGAAGGAGATGCTGGTCACATCTGTTGAGTGCATTTTAAATGGCAGGCATTGCCTGCAGCAACAGCAGGTGTACGACCCGGTATTCAATCCCAAGGCTGGCCATTAGCTAGACTTCCCCCTCTCCAGGGGCCAGCACTGTGCCTGGAAGGTGTGAGGAAAGATTCAGGGTGCTTAGTGGAAATTCATCGCACTACCGGTAGCTACAGTAGATGGCCTCATAATTATCCTGAGCAATCAGGCAATGTCCTCCTAAGCCCTGAGAGCACAAGTCGAGATTAGTGCATCTCTGGAACTGTATGGATTCTGGAGTACATGTCTTTGTGACAAACTGGCATGCCTGCTGTGCCAGTGTTCACAATAATGAAAAATATATCGATGCCTAAAAAATACTATGACAGAATGTTATGTTGCACGGCTTGCTTGTCTTCTGGCTTGCTTCTCTGATTGCGGCTGGATTTGTAATTGATCTGCAAAGAGGCACAAAATTCTGTACAACATACATGTAGGCATTTGTCTTTAAATGAAGACCACCTGTAATTTAAATGAAGACCACCTGAAAGAATATTGTAACATTACTTTGGTGCTTGTAGCATTAATTTGTTTCCTATTTTGAAAAAAAATAATAACCTAATATCAAAGAAAAGTCATACATTCAAGCAGGAATTTTTAAATTGACCTCATATTGACCTCCTAAAATGCCATTATACACACAATCTGTGCAATCACCAAACCTGTTTGGGTATCACAGTTTGTGATGGGATAGATTATGATGTGATGATTTATGATGACATTATGATAGTATTGCTATTTATGAATGCAGTCTACTTACAGTATAGTCATTCTCAAATCTAGGGTCAGCAGTCTAGAGTCACCCTGTCATTTTGTGGTATAAAAGATAACATGCCACTGCTTGCATGTTCTTTGAATTAGAACAACATAAATAAGCTTCTATTTATTACAAATAGTATTGGCTGAAATGTTATGCATTTAAATATTATGTGCATTCATAGTGCCATAAACCTAGAAACATTTACATATATAACATACTCAGTATTGTATGGATATCTAATGAACACTTACATTCACTTACATTGAAGTATAATTATGATAATAATAGGCATAATATATGCTTACACAAGTAAGCATCTTTCATTCATTTACAATAAGGAATAATGCAATATGTATGATTTGTTGTGCTGCTACACATATAACATTTGTATCCATCCATTGTCCAACTTGCTTATCCTACTGGGTTGCGGGGGGTCTGGAGCCTATCCCGGAAGCAATGGGCATGAGGCAGGGAACAACCCTGGATGGGGGGCCAGCCCATCGCAGGGCACACTCACACACCATGCACTCACACATGCACACCTAAGAGCAATTTAGCAACTCCAATTAGCCTCAGCATGTCTTTGGACTGTGGGGGGAAACCGGAGTACCTGGAGGAAACCCCACGACGACATGGGGAGAACATGCAAACTCCACACACATGTGACCCAAGTGGAGACTTGAACCCAGGTCCCAGAGGTGTGAGGCAACAGTGCTAACCACTGCACCACCATGCCACCCCTAACATTTGTATATAATTTAGAATTTATACATTTAACAAATTGTGTGTTGTACTTAATGAATACAGAATTTTATTTGTTTCTGTAATCTGTATGAACAAGAATGTGGAGAAGCCAACAGTTTATGACAGATGGAATTTGGCAATGTATCTATTCAGGCCATGAAGTGCGTGATAATGAAGGGCTCTGCCTGCCTGACAGCGGCCTGCTCCTTTCCAGTATCCGCAGAAGCTAGTATCGTCACAAAGGCTCATCACATCTTAATGACCTTGATCACAAACTGTCATTTTAATCAGATATGACTACTTTGTCACCCTGTCATATGGATTTACCCATATGTAATTAAAGATGAGTGTTGGATGTTAAAAGGCAAAAATACATTTTGTGTATTCACTGTGACTCTCACAAAAACCCCATTTTAAATATTGATGGATGAATCCAGTCTGTATCCTCTATAATGTATAACGATAAGAAAGATTTGTATGCTTTTGTTGACTAGTTAAAAAAATGGTAGCTAGTTTTCCTCAGATGCGTCTTCTGGAAGCAGTAAATGTCCGGTAATAATGGCATATTATTCTCTTCTTTCATGTTTTGTAGATCCCTTTTGCAGTGGCTAAACATAGTTCAGTCCTTTCTATACTGTAATGAAAATGGATTCTGGGGGACTTTTTTGGAGAGCCAGCAGACCTGCGTGTGCCACACAGGGGTCAACCTTTGCCAAAGACCTGTCCCCTGTGTCATCGGGGGAAACAACAGCTGCGCCATGTGCAGCCTGGCCAACATCTCGCAGTGCGGCTCCTGCAATAAGGGCTACAAGCTCTACCGCGGCCGCTGCGAGCCCCAGAACGTGGACTCAGAACGCAGTGAACAGTTTATCAGCTTCGAGACAGACCTTGACTTTCAGGACCTGGAGCTGAAGTACCTGTTGCAGAAGATGGACTCACGGTTATACATACACACCACCTTCATCAGCAATGAAATCAGACTAGACACTTTCTTCGATCCGCGTTGGCGAAAGCGGATGTCCCTCACGCTGAAGAGCAACAAGAACAGGATGGACTATCTCCACACGATTATCGGGCTCTCCATGAAGATCTGCCAGGTCCGCAACAGCAGCATTGACCCAATGTTCTTTGTTTATGTCAACCCTTTCAGCGGAAGCCATTCAGAAGGTTGGAATATGCCTTTTGGGGAACATGGATATCCCCGTTGGGAGAAGGTACGGCTCCAGAATACGCAGTGTTTCAATTGGACTCTACGTCTGGGAAATCGCTGGAAAACCTTTTTTGAGACTGTACACATTTACTTGCGCAGTCGGACAAAGCTTTCTACCACTCTGCGCAATGATACTGGGCAGGGACCAGTTGACTTATCTGACCCCAACAAGAGGCAAATATACATCAAGATCTCAGATGTGCAGGTGTTTGGCTATAGCCTGCGGTTTAATGCAGACCTGCTCCGCAGCGCTGTCCAGCAGGTCAACCAGTCCTACACTCAGGGCACACAGTTCTACTCTTCATCCTCTGTCATGTTGCTACTCTTGGACATCAGAGACCGGATCAATCGCCTGGCACCACCTGTGGCCCCCAACAAGCCGCAGCTGGACCTCTTCTCCTGTATGCTAAAACATCGACTGAAGCTCAACAGCAGTGAAATGATCCGTGTCAATCATGCACTGGACATGTATAACACAGAAATTCTGAAACAGTCTGACCACCTGACAACCAAACTCTGTTAAAAGAAAGTTAATTATATAAACACAGAAATAAACATGGAAATATCTTTCATGTTAATTGAGGAGTACTTTTTAGAATGTGCTTTCCTCTTTTTCATGTAAAAAAAAATTTGTAAATGTAATTATTTGACAATACTAAAAATAGCTGGAGAATTAAGAAAAGAAATCATTTAGCAGTGTAATATAATTGTTGAGCATGTCTGTTATTTCCTAAAATGGATATAAAGGACAAATTAAACATCTGGTGAATAAGAGGCCTTGAATTTATGTTTATTTAATGAGTTAAATCTTTTTTAAGTGTTCTTAACTCAAAGAAGAAATTATATATTTTAGGAACACTATTTCATGAGTATACATTCTTAAAGGGGAATTATGCCAACTTTTAATAATGTGATTCTTCCTAGCTAGCAAATAAATGCTACAGTATGAGAATCACTTCTTTAAGTTTTTCCTAAAGTGGGCATCACAATGAGCAGTTTCATACAATTTCCTGGGAGAATTTTATTATTTTCCATTTTATGCACTAACTTTTTATAGCTCCAAGGATTACTGGGAAACAATATTTTGAACTAGAAATTGTTGGGGGAGCTAATTTAATGTAAATATCATATCATGCCATCTTATCATTAAGTAATATAAATGCAATGTAGATTATTCTGACTATTAATAAAATGGATACATTGATTTATAGAAGATCGTATGGTATACATAACCCAGGTTATACCAAGGAAATCTTACAATGTACACAATGCGTAATTATTTTCTGTCCATTGAGGAAAAACTAAAATGCAAATGGCAGTGAAAAATCTTTTTGCTGTGTATCTATGGTCATTTGGGTATGTAGCGCATCACCTGCTGAAATTCTCCTTTACTATGAAGAGGTTCAAGGGTGTAACAGATTTTAAACAAGTTTTATATTTGAATATCTTGGGTGTGCTATTCAAGTTAGCTTCACACTGATAAGCCTTCCATTGAACAGGTCAGTTTTCTGAAAGCTGATAATATACAATTAAACGTATAAAGGCACCCTTTCCCCATCTAATCCCCTTGCATGTTTCAGTTGTGGTGTTACTATGTTACTTTGTCACAAATATGCAATATTTACAGTTGTAACTCTGAAGATATCCAATTATCTCTAATACTGGGGCCAGACAATGAAGTAATTTAATTGTCAGTTTATTTGGGCAAACACAAATCCAAATGAGCAAACATATGGTTCAGCCTTTAAAATCAAATCATGCAAAACCATATTCAAACGGCTCTCTTGGTTGCTAATCTACAGATGACTATTTTGCTTTGAGATTATTCTAGTAGTGAAGCTTGCTAACAAGTATCCATGATTCAAAAATTGATATTCATGAGATGTTTTGTATGATTAATGCAAAAATAATTAGAAAAGAATGTATTACTGCATTTGCATTATGAAGCTAGTATGCATTAATTACCTAAAATCTTTGGTTATGGATCACAAAATAAATTTTTTTGTAGTGTTACCCACCAGATTTCATTATCCAAATATGAATTACTTAACATTTAATAGAATGTAAAAGATTTCTAAGATAATACATTCTCTTGAAATATGAATGCAAAATATTGAAAACCATTCTGCAAATAACCTACAACTGATGTCAGTTGCAATTATCACTCGAAAAACATCAAAATGTTGGAAAGCTGTTACACCCTTTCTATGCTAGAATGATTAAAATTATGTCACATTGATAGGTTAATCATAATCATAGAACTGCTGATTTTTATTATTTTTTTTCCTGTATTAAATTAAGTATAGGGTGTCTATATTTTTTAAAGGTGTCCACAACCCCAATATTCTGCAACAAATCATCTAACAATTTCATCAAAGAAGAAAAATATCTTGGTTTGGTTAATGCAATTACTGCAAAGTGGTGGGACATGATGAGACTGAGTAATTCTAGGTGGCCATCAAATTCAAATTCAACATTTTTTCAGAGACTGGATACTAAGGCCTGAATCTTGACAATGAAGGTTACTCTTTCATTGCGTTATCATCATACATCATACAAATATCAGTTACTTGAGAATTGATAGAACAAAAAAAAACAATTCTGTCAATGATTACTCAAAATAATACCTTCTCTTGAAGTGTGAACGCAAAACACTGAATCGTTTTGACATATTGAAGCTACCCCCCCCCCTCCCCAACTAGGCACATGGTTAAGTAGTAAAAGTAAGTGGGTGAACCCCACCACAAATTTGCACTGGCTTTTCAGCTGGCAAAATCTAACAGAGTTGACGCCCCCACCAGAGAAACCTATGGAGAGGGACCCTGGACAGTCCACCCCATGGTCAGCAAATCTACCATGGGGGACCTATCTGTAGAGTTGCTGGACCCCCCAAAAAATTATTTTCGGCTACAGGACTGCTGGTGATGAAATTAAAAATAAGAAAAACAATATATCACAAATTAGCAAGGAATAAATGCATTAATGAAACAATTACAGTTTGAAATTAACCTTAATATCTTGGAAATTCCAAATATATATATTTGAATGTATAGAAACTTATTTATATCTTTATGTTATTGCAGCTGGTGAAGGTACAGTAACAGTAACTTCTGAAACTTGGATGACATCAAATGTATTCATGATTTTAAGTAGTACAATGGGAGGTACAGTAAATGTATTACAGAATGCAGCTGCGAGCGCTTTAAGGTATTTTGACATGATATATGATTAAGTGCCTGTTACTCACTCCTTTAATAATTTATTGGAAGACCAAAAGATGTCTCTATCTGGTGTTCCTCCAGGAGAAATCACAGTGAGCCCAGATTAATATTAGATTATGCCAGAAATGGAGGGAAAGAGTTATTATCTTATTCTCAAGTGGTTCAATCAAAATTTTATATAAAAAGTCCTGAGCAATGCTTCAGTGTCTTCCAATCTGTGAAGGCAAATTTTGTAGCAATTTATTGTAATGTGCATGTGTAAAAGCATTCTTAATATAAGATCATTGAAAATAATGCAAACATATTATACAAACATAATAAAATAGGTTTTTTAAAAAACTGGTAATTTATACATGTCCTTGTATAATCGCAAATGCCAGGCTTTTAAAATTCTTATATTTACCAGAATGAAAGGCATCTTAACAGCATTACTTTAGGAAAAAAAATAGAATTCTCCCCCTGATTTTTCTTTCAATCTTGAAATGTTTTTACTGCAGTGTACAAATACAGATTCTACTGTCTCGAAATCTCACGGACAATACACTCCATCGTGTGGCAGGACCTGAGAGCCTTCATCCTGGCAAAATATTCTTTAAATGTATTAATTTACATAATTTAAGTGTATTTACATATACAAGAATAAGATCCTTGTACAATTGCAACAGTTACATATATGAATATATTTAAACTGAATTTTTAAAAGGAAAATCTAATGTCATAGCTATCAGTAACTTGTCCTTGTAGTTTTTGCTGTTCTGTTCATCATGGTAGTACTGTACATTTCTTCAAATAAATGTTTCAAAATACAGTTCTTTCATTTCTCATTACAATGCCATTGTGAATAAAGAACAGTGTGGTCTTGGGAGGGAGCGTCAGGTTATTTATTTTTTCCACCTGTTCCACATTCTGTGTAATGTTGAGACTTCCTGTCTTTCTGGTTTTATTTTCATGTTTACTTACTTTCCTAAACCTGTTTCCCCCTTAAAAGGACATAAATAAAAAAATTAATAAAGATGTCATTCCATGCCCAACCCTGTGTCTCGTGTATCATCAATATTTTCAATACTCATTTCTTATTTTTTGGATGAACTGTGTTTTACTTGTCAAGAATATATAATCATATAATCACATAAAACAATAAATTCTGATTATCTGGCAAGTAGGGATGTAACGATACGATTCTGAGTTCACAAAACGATTTTCTCACGATTTTTTAACAGAATGAGCTGCAGGCAAATTTATTCAAAAAAATTCCTTTTTTAATTTTTCTAAACTGTGCAAGACGTGTCCTCTTCTTAACAGTGCGACTGAAATTGAATAAAATACTGTTTAAAAAAAATCCCATATCCATCCATCCATTATCTACTGCTTGTCCGGGGTTCGGGTCGCGGGGGTAGCAGCTTCAGGAGAGACACCCAGACATCCCTCTCCCCAGCTACCTCCACCAGCTTCTCGGGGGGGACGCCGAGGCGTTCCCAGGCCAGCCGAGAGATATAATCCCTCC